CCAGGTCGAGCTGTTGTTCAGCATCTTAGCTGTAGAGGGCAGTGTCACTGGCCCTCATATGTGGGATCCGAACCGGGGCCCTCTGGCATCCCAAGCAAGTTCTTAACCATTGCGCCACTCGGCCGGCCCAAACTCTTAGTTATTTTAATCCAGACTTGTGTCTAGATTAAAACAGACTTTCTTAACTATCTTCTCCTTGGCATCCTTATGAAAATACTATTAAAAATATCAACAGTAGCTAGAATTTAATGAGCACTTACTACATGTTAAAATTGTGCTGAAGCCTTTATAGAGGCTATTTGAATCCTTAGCAAAGCCCTGAAAGGTAGACACCATTCCCCCTATTATAAACAAGGACACTGAGGCTCAAATTACTTAAGTGGCTTGTCCAAGTTCACAGAATGATAAGTGGTGAAAATGAAACTCACATAGATCTGACTCCAGAAGCTAAGATTATAAGCACTCCCCTATCCTGAGAAGAGAAGTAGCTTCTCTCCAGCTAAAATCTACTTACAAGCAAGTTGAGAACGAGCTAATTCTCCTCTAATCTTAGCCTCTACCTGACTAGTCAAGATCCCTAGCTGGAAAAGCAGAAAATATTCATTTTATGTTTGCTTTTTAACTTACCCACTCACAGTCAATTCCAAGCACTGGAAAATCTTCTAACTGACTCCTAAGTAAGGGCTCGATTTGATCCCACTCTGCCTCCTGAGACACCGTCACCACCTTTGCTTCAAGGATCCTCTCCTCCCATGAGGCTCTGGAAGCACTGGCGTGCAGCTGGTCCTCCTCTGGAAGGGGCAGCTCTCTCCTGCCAGGAGCTCGCTGCTGCTGCTGCTGCTGCTGCTGCTGCTGCTGCTGCTGCTGCTGCTGCTGCTGCTGCTGCAGCTGCTGGTGGGTCCCGCGGCTCGTTTTACTCCTCCGGCGCTGGATGCCTTTCCATAGGACAAACCCCCCCACAGCCACACCAAGAAGGGTGGTCACTGTCAAAGCCACTAGGTGTCTGGACATCTTCAACTCTGCTGCTGTTTAGGAACGCATATCACTAATCCCACAATCTGCAAAACAAATGGCAACAACATATTTACATACAAAATTTAAATCTATATGGCAACACATTTTGCCCTAAAAAGTGTTCCATTTACAATCCATGTTCCTACAAACCAGAAAATAATGGCCACATGAAACAGTGATGTTTTAATTTTTTCACTTTTGTACATTCTCTACTCCATTTCTACTTCCATTCTCACCCAAGAAACCACCCCGCCCTCTACCAGTTGCCCAGGGCTCTCTTAATTATATAAAATTATATCAATCAAAACAGAATAAATTAGACTCTCACTTCCACTTACTGATATATTAGTGAGTAAATGTTAGTTAATGAATCTTCTTCAAGGTGTTTGCACTTTAAACCTTCAATCTCTAACCAGTGAATGGAAACTTCTGCTTTTCAATAAAAATCTAATCATCAGCAAATTGGTGGGGAGATTTCTTTTTTACTTTTCTGGAAGGTGTGGACAGTGGGGGACGAAGCAAACAGGCTTGTGTAAACATGGATTTTCCTGCCCCAGAAGTCTCAGTAGTTCTCCACAGAAACAGACCCAGATATTTAGGGTAAGCTAGGGCAGTACAAAAGCGAAGATAGGACTGGAAAGAAAAAGGAAAGGACAGAACCTAAACAGAGGCCCAAGATGCTCAGGAGGAGGTTGAAAACTGAAATGTCTACAAGGTCAGGGCAGGATCACATAAAAAAGTGAAGCAAGCCAAGCAAAAAAAAAGTGACACACACGCCCCATTAAATACAGTCATGTGTTACATAATGACGTTTCAGTTAATGACGAACTGCATACGCAACAGTGGTCCTATAGATTATAATGGAATGGAAAAATTTCTATCACCTAGTGACACTGTAGCTGTTGTAATGTCATTACGTTGTTTGTGGTGATGCTGGTGTCAACAAACCTACTGCACTGCCAGTCGAACAAAAGTATAGCACATACAACTATATACAGTACATAATACTTGATGATAATAAACAACTATGTCATTGGTTTATGTATTTACTATATTATACTTTTTATTGCTATTTTAGAGTGTACAATTCAAGAGTGCTTTCCATGGTAATCCTGACAGATCTCTGTCTGGTTTCTGACCTGGTTGGTCTCTACTTGAATACATTTAGGGACAGAGTTCATGACCTGAAGAGGCAGTTTTTGCTGAAAAGTTCTTGCATTCTGTAAAAGTTCACTACATAGAAATCACTCCTTTTGATGTTCAGTCTGGTCTCTAAAATAACAAAAGTGTTAGCTCCCTCCTGAGAGCTTGTGAAATATGTGAAGATAGCTCTTATGAATCCCCTTAGTACAGTCTACTTAACCCAACCAGTCTTCCTGTGACCTAGTTTATAACCACTCACCATTGTCTACATCTTTCTGAACAGCCCCAAGTTTGTTAATGCATCTTAAAATGTGACAGTCAGGTCTGTATTCAGAACTTGAGACACAGTCTAATTGGTGTGCGCGGCACTGATACTATTACTTATTTTACCTATACTTTATTAATGTTTTATGAAATATGTTTTGAGTAGTAGAATTACACTGATGGGTCATATAAAACTTGTGGTAAATTAAAGTTCACTGACACCAAATCGAGTTCCACATTTTACAGATTTGTACAATCATTTCTATTTTGCACTTAAATCTAAAACTTTTCTTTCTTCTAAGTTTCATCTTATTTATTTCAGCCAAATGTTTCATTCTTTGAGACCAGTTTGCATCTTGATTGTGTCTTCCTTCTCAATTTAAACATGATTTTGTATACAAAAGTGAAATTTTATTTTCAAAGAAAATAACATCCTTTAATGTGTTTTTATTAAATCATTTTAAAATTTCTTTTGGCATTTCACCCTATCGCCACATTTAATGATACTAAAATAAGGTTAAATTAAATTAGAAATAGCTTTAAAAAAAAAACACAAAGTATTGATTTGCTTCCATTGAGAAGGGCTCCTTCAGATATGAAGTTCCCAGGCATACAGTCATGTTCCCGATTTATTCTTTATCATGGTAGCCTGTGTAAAAGAAAGTCCTCAGAGAAAAATTGAAAGAGCAATCAGGGGACCTCCAACATGAAGGAATTCTTGGCAATATTAAAAAAATTCAATTCATTTCTCTTTGGAGAGGTTTTGTGTGGATTTTTTTTCCAGCCAAAGGATTGATTCAGCAAACATGTAAGTAGCACTTTCAATAAGCCAGACATTGCGCTAGACTTTGGCTAAAAAGGGTTAAAAGGTGCAATCTGCTTTAAAAAAATTCAGAATTTAGAACAGGACAAATACATGTAATGAACAAGTTACAATAGAGTGAGATAACAACAGAAGCACACATAAGCACAAGGGCAACAAAGAGGAAAGAGTGGGGGTATTATTAAAAGAAACACTCGCTGAGAGAAATTATTTCTGAGATCGGTACTGGTATTAAAAATGAGCAAAATTTCTCCAGATGCACAGGGCAGATAGGAGAAGGGCACCCCAGGCAGAGGGAACAGTATGTGCAAGCATATGAAAAGCGTGAAGCATCATGGTAAAGGTGAAAAAGCTCAAGAAAATTTAACATGTATGTGTACAATAAGAGTAAAATACTTATCGAATTTTAAAGAATTACAAGAAAAAAAGTAAAAACATCTCATTAATAATTTCCATATTGATTTTTAAGGTGACCTTTTCTTATTGTAGTAAAATATACAGAACAGAAAATCTACCATTTTAACCATTTTTAAGTATAAATTCAGTGGCATTAACTACATTCATAATGTCGTGCAACTATCACCATCATCCATTTCCAGAACTTCATCATCCCAAACAGAAACTCTGTACCCATTAAACAATGTGACCTCCCACTGTCCCCTCCTCCAAATCCCTGGTAATCTCCATTATACTTTCTATCTCTATGAATTCCATATTCATTTTTTATGTCTATGTTGAAATGATATTCTGGATATAAGGATTAAATAAACATGTTATTAAAATTAAGTTGACCTTGTTTCTTTTTATTTATTTATTTATTTTTTAATTGGGGAATTGGGGGAAGGGAACAGCGCTGGGGAATTGGGGGAAGGGGAACAGACAAGTTGCTGTCGTTTTGTTCTTCAGTCTAGTTGTAGAGGACGTTGGTTCACTGGCCGCTCACGCTGGCTGCTGGCTACACACGGTAGCCCATGGCAACCCACTGCCACAGGGGCTGCAGCCTACGCCATCGCCGCCAGCGACTCCCGGCAGCCCAGCTCCAGGTTGAGCTGTTGTTCAGCATCTCAGCTGTAGAGGGCAGTGTCACTGGTCCTCATATGTGGGATACGAACCAGGGCCCTCTGGCATCCCAAGACAGCTCTTAACCAATGCGCCACTCGGCCGGCCCCACCTTGTTTATATATATATATAT